ATGTGAGTTAGTAATAAACAGAGTGGATAGATTTGAAAAAACCGAGTAAAGTGGGAGCAAAGGGGGGGCGTCGAGGGAGGATTTACTTCCACGCCGGAACAATTTGCATTTGAAAGTAATTCTTTCATGACTGACAAGTAAATCCTTGAAAATAGGGTACTTATAATGGAAAAGCTCATATCGCTTCCGAGCACAGCTTGCAGTATATGAGCAAGATGTCATGTGCATTTTTGTGGAGTGTAAGTGTGTGCGTATATGTGTGCACACACACGCCCGCACACACATGCAGAAGGCAGCTATATATTAATTGCAAAATTCATGTCGAAAATTGTTTTCGTTTTACCAGGCTTGCAAAACTTAACTTTTCTGATCTGTCACTTTCAGAATTGGTTAGGTCGCCTTGCTATATGATTTTCCCAAGATTTACCTTTTCCTCAAACAGAAAAAAGGTGACCTGTTTAAAACATTGGTTCTTAGATTTGAGGCTCAGAATACTTTTAGACTACCAGAAACCCTAGCACCACAATCAACAGTTAGGACTTTTGGCAATTACAGTCCAAGAAATGTGGGGTCCTTGGGAACTCTTAATACAGAATATAGTGGTGCCCCACTAGACGATTACCTCGCAAAATGCTTTATTCTCCAGATGATGCGTTTTTGCAATCGCTATAGCGCTTTGCAAAAGTGTTTCCTATGGGCGATTTTCGCTGGATGATGTTTCGGTCCGTGCTTTGCAAGACATTTTTTTTCCGGGACCATTTTTTGCAAGAGGACGATTTTGACAGCTAGGTCCGCGACTCGCAAAATGGGTGTTTTCGGGATCGTTTATCGCAGGACAGTGGTTTTGACAGCTGATCCACACTTCGCAAAACTGTTTTATTATGGGTGATTTTCGCAAAACAATGACAATTTTCCCCCATTGGAATGCATTAAATAGATTTCAATGCATTCCAGTTGGGAACCGCATTTCGCAAGACAATGTTTTTGCAAATTAACATTGTCTTGTGGGGCACCACTGTATTTATTTCCCTACTCTTGGGGTCTCGGCAGGCAAGCCATGCTTCCAGTTCAGAGCTCAGAAACGTCTGTGGACTGCCACTATAGAAGGAAACTCTCTGGAATCTGTAATCTAAAAGTACTTTTTCAGAGCTCTGCTTCCACTGGGTTGACAGAGAACTGTAACTGACATATGGAGGTGAAGAGAAAACTGTCTGAAATATTAAGAGGGTTAACTTTGTCTTGGACAAAGATTTTTTTAAAAAGTAGTCTTAATACTACAAAACTGGCCTAATCTAGATGTATTGAAAGTACCATGCTTTGTTCATTTGTGTGCCTCTTCTGTTTATGTATAAAACAGGAAGAGGAGGGTTTTTTCCCTATATTCTGCTCCATTTTTCCCCAGACACCCTCCTTGCCCCTCTTTTCTACCTGTCTAGCTTGTTTCCATTATTGGATTCAGGGTGGCAGAGATATGTCTGAAGCAGTGATTCCCAACCTTGCCCAACTGAGGTGTTCTTGGACTTCAAATCCCAAAAATCCTAGTGGCGAAGGCTTCTGGGAATTGTAGTCCAAGAACCTCTGGGGACCCAAGGTTGGGAACCACTGGTCTACAGTGACAGAGTGCGAGGAAGTAAGGTACAGGGTGTGCATGGAGTGGAAAACGATGTTTGAACTCTGCTTCATCTTTACATGCGTTTTGTTGTAGATTCTCCTCTTTCCATTCATCCTCTCACATGTCAACCGCAGCAAAGTAGAGGTGGGAATAAACCATTGCTTCAGCTCCCATTGCATTAAGTCTGGTCCAGGCCAAGAACTATAAATTTGGTGCTATCCAGAAGGTTTAGACGGCCAACCTTAATCCGCATGGGCAGGAGTCAGTGAAACTGTAGTCCAGATCATCTCTAGAGGACTTACTTTTGGGCCAAACGCCAAGCTCCTTCCCTCCTTCTACTCAATGAGTGAAGTCAGAATTATATAAAACTGCCTCTAATAACATATCCTGGGATGGTATTAATATTAGTTTTTCTTCTTGTGCTTTATTTTTTCTTGCATTGATTTTAGATCCGGATCCGTGAACTCTCATGCTGATGGTATTGTTTTATAGGGCGTGTGGGGTTCTGAGTTATATTTGCAATCTGCCCAGGGTAATGTGTTCACCAAAGGGGCAGTGTAAATATCAAATAATCAAACCAAATGGAGTTTGTTCAGTCTTGTGTTTTTATCACTTGATGATAGTCAGTCAACCGTACAGCTGGGTAATTATAACAGTTCTCTCTCCAAAGACATCAGTACATTAAGTATCTTTACTTAGGAGCCCTTCCCTTATGTGTTTGAGGTCCTCTTATTGGTGCTGAGTGCCTGGCAGACAGGGAAATGGATGAGGACAGATTCTCAGCTATTTCCCATGTGTTGCGTTGGCTCTGTTTAAGGAGAATGAAGTGAAACTCTTTGGTGAGCAATGAAATCAGGCTTCTTGTTGTCTTCTTTTCCCCAGAATGCCCTATTTAGAAATATATATATATGTGTGTGTGTTTGTGTGTTTTAAATTTTGGAAAGTTCAAAGTGCCTTCCACAATAATATGACTGCCTCCTTTGCTTGGGGCCATCATTATCTTGGACAACAATTAATATAGAGAGAAATGTATGCTTTTATATAAGGTTTCTTCATTTTACTCAGGAAGTGCATTGTTAAATGTGATTATCTAAGTTTTTCTTGAATGCCTCCAGTGTTGGAGCACTCACCAACTCCCAAGGTAACTGGTTCTACGGTTGTACTGCTCTAACAGTTAGGAAGTTTTTTCTGATATTCAACCAAAATCTGGCTTTCTTTAACTTGAGCCCATTGTTGCGTGTCCTGCACTCTGGGATCATCGAGAACAGATCCTGCTCCTCCTCTATATGACAGCCTTGAAATATTTGAAAAGTGCTATCATAGGTAATAGAAATTGTGTAAGTCTTGGCATCAAAGTCTTCATTAAAGAGATACTTGTTATGTCACTGAGTGTACATCCAGTTGCATGATATGGAGCTTGATCAGGAATGCAACCAGCATTTTGACGAAGAGCAGCAATTAGACATTAAGACTTACATGACATCCTGTTGCACAGTCAGTAGTAGAATTCTAGCTGTTTATTTAGGACAGTGGTTCTTAACCTCTTGGCATCAAAGTCTTCATTAAAGAGATACTTGTTATGTCACTGAGTGTACATCCAGTTGCATGATATGGAGCTTGATCAGGAATGCAACCAGCATTTTGACGAAGAGCAGCAATTAGACATTAAGACTTACATGACATCCTGTTGCACAGTCAGTAGTAGAATTCTAGCTGTTTATTTAGGACAGTGGTTCTTAACCTTTTTGAAAGAAAGAATTCTAGCTGTTTATTATGGACATTTGTATCCTGCCTATATCATGGAATTTCAGGTTGAAGTACAACTTGAGTAACTTAAGACACTGTAAAGTACTTGAAGAAAAATTATGTAAAAAATAAAACAGTTAAAATACTTTAATGCATAAATTAATATAAGCAATTTAAATCTAATTAAAAGCTGTATGCATGCAAAAGATGCCAACAGCCTACTTAAACAAAGACTTTACTGGAGATACTGTACACATTTTAACTTGATGCTGAAATGAAACCAAAGCCTGTGCCAGCCGGGCCTTCAAGAGGAGACCATTGGAAGTTCAGGGTGCCACAACAGATAAGGCTGCCTCCCATGTTTCCATGTACGGTATAGGATAGTGATGTGATGAAGTGGGGGCTATCCCTTGCAGATCTTGGTACTTGAGCAGGTATCTATTTGTGATTCCATGCACTCCTATGCAGCGTCCTATGTGATTTTCAATTCTTGTACTAACTAGACAGGTGTCCAGAATACCTGAGGGCATCTACAGTACTTCCTTGTACTGCTCTCACGTGCATAGAGCTATTGCTTATGGTCAACAAGATGTAGTGTTTCCTATTGTTAAACTTGAACCCCAAGGAAAATCTTTTTTAAAAAACAACC